GGAGCATCCAATGCCCTTGTTAATCAGAACATAGTGATGTAGGAAATGTTGGGGTTCAGAGCTGATGGCCAAGAAAGAATTCTTGAGACATCTTTGGTGCAAAAAGGGGGTTTTATAAAAGCATGGAGACAGGACCCGTGAGCAGAGAGAGCCGCACTGGCGTTATGAGGAAGTGCTGATTATATGCTTTAGTTGGGGGGAGGTAAAGGTAAAGGGAAGTTTCCAAAAGGACTTTTATATGCCAGGGAAGACTCACAGGATCCTGGAAGCCTAGTATTGTCAAGATAAGTTTGTTTTTCTCTCTAGCAAGGCAGTAACATTAAGACAGTTGGGAGTTCCCTGGAGGAAGTATTTGTCAGTGGGCTGGAGGTTATAAGGAAATTGAATTTTATCTACATTTCGTTTTTGCCTTTGTTCCCCACATCAATAGGAATGCCCAAACACTGGCAGAGATGAGCCTCTGTGATTGGATGTAGATGTGTGCACTGGGTTCCCTGTATTTAGTGTATTTCTGTGCAGGACTGGATGTCCGGGGGACCTTCAGCTCCGCAGCGCACGAGTCAGCTGGCAGGCAGGGTGGAGGGAGGCCGCGCATGTTCCTTTGTCCTGAAGCTGCCAAACCTTGGCTGCTTGTGGCCAGTAAACTGCACAGTGATCTCTTGCTGCCCATCAGTGGGTACCCAGTCACCAAGCCCTTCCATTGCCAACTCACCTGGCAGGTTGACCAGAAGCACCTGCGGATGAAAGTTGGAGGGCAATGCTCACGCCCATCACCCCTGCTTCTGGCCCTGTGGCTTGGTTCTCCAATACTTTCTAATTATTAACAATCAATAACACTGGCATTGAAACCAAATGTGGCTATAAGGATTTTCAGGACAAGACTTACTCTTTATCACAGACAGAGTAAGGAAACAGATTTATGACAGCATTAGAATCTCTGGTTGTCAACAAGTAGCCTTTTGTAGCCCGCAGGGACATCCTCAGGAAGAGGTCCCATTTCTGCAGAGATCCCAAGCCTGGCCTCCATCTTGGTCACCACCGTGGTCACACGTGGCACCAGCGGGCAGTCCTCCTGGAGAGGAGCTTCATTAGTCCACCCTTCAACCTGATCCTGCTTTCTGTTTCCTTTTAGCCACAGCTGCTATTACATCACACTGGATGGAAATCAGAGTGAAGCCTGTCTTGCAAGTGGTTCTACAAAACCTAGAGACGTCATTTCAGTTTTGCTTTCTACTTGCTGTCTTGCAATGTGCTGCTCTTTTTTTTTATTTTATTGTTATGTTAATCACCATACATTACATCATTAGTTTTTGATGTAGTGGTCCATGATTCATTGTTTGCAGATAACACCCAGTGCTCCATTCAATACATGCCCTCTTTAATACCCATCACCAGGCTAACCCATCTCCCCACCCCCCTCCCCTCTAGAACCCTCATTTTGTTTCTCAGAGTCCATTGTCTCTCATGGTTCATCTCCTGCTCTTTAGGGAAACCTTTAAGCTGAGACCACAACAGAACAGAAAGCTGTTGTGTGAACAGGCTGAGAGGTCAAGAGAGTGAATGCCGAGAGTGCTGTCGGGACTTCTGCCTTAGAGAGGAAGGAAACTGTTAGGACAGGGGAATGTGTCCTAGAATGCAGACGGGGAGGGCAGGGGTGGGTGCCAGAAGGTTAAAGAAATAGCATGTTCTTCTACACTTCCACCTAGATATTTATTCTCAACTCTCCGATATTCATACAAGCCACCCTTTCATCACTGAATATAAATAAGACCCTTCTTTGAAAGGGGAATGAATTCGTCAGGCTTCTCTAGAATTCTCAGCAGAATTCTGGTTTTGGAGGTTGCCTCCTTTGGAGGTCAGTTACTGAAGTGGAGGACACACAGGACCCAAGATTTTGTAGAAAGAGACAAACAATATTCTCATATATAGCCATCGGAAGAACAATAAGAGAATACATATGATATTTTAAGTGGTTTTGATGTAGCAAAGACATTGGGGTTTGAAGTCAATGGCCAAGAGAGAATTCTTGAGATGTATTTGGTGCAGAAAGGTGGTTTTATTAAAGCAAGGGGACAGGACCCATGAGCAGAGAGAGCTGCACTAGGGTCATGAGGAGTGGCTGATTATATCCTTTCAAGTTTGGAGAGAGTAAGGATAGTGTAAGTCTCTTAGGAATTCTGGAAGCAAGGTTTCCAGGACTTTGAAGGGGCTAGCTATTGTTGGGGAAAAAATCATTTATTACTATCTAATAAAACCTTAGTCATGAGACCCTTCAGATGTATATTGGTGGGTCATATGCTTAAGGGATGATTGCCAACACTCATCAGCATCCTCTCTTGTTATCCATGTACTGTATGGCCATGAGTCCACTGTCTCCTTTGTGGCTCTTCTCTCCCCTCCCTTTAATGATTGCAGAGCCTTAGAATAAAGTTTATGTCTGTCTCACACTACATAGTCTCCCCACATGAACACCTCTGTTTCTGGCATTCCCTGCTAGATATGGACCTCAGCCATGGCGTTTCTTGTCAAATGCAAGATCACCTCTCCCCTGACACTGGACATTTGTGCCTCCATGTCTACCAGTCACCTGTCCAGAGGCCCCCAGCTTTTATGTGTACTTCCTGACCTTCTCCATTCCAGCATCAGGTGAGAGAATTCACTTCCTTCCCTTCTTCATTATAACACTAAGCCTGAGGATTGTTTTTAGATTTCTATCTCTACAACAACCAAAGATGTAGACATCAGGACCTGTATTTGTCATGTCCTATAGCCTAAGGACAACGTACAAGTTGTCTTAGAGGAAGTCCGTTGTTACTTCTGATGTTAATATAATATGAGGGGTAAATGCATTCTGCCATCCATTTTTCAATCAAGCTGCACAATTAGACTTAGTGTTACTCTTTAAAAAGAATGCCAGGGGCGCCTGGGTGCCTCAGTTGGTTAAGCGACTGCCTTCAGCTCAGGTCATGATCCTGGAGTCCCGGGATCGAGTCCCACATCGGGCTCCCTGCTTAGCGGGGAGTCTGCTTCTCCCTCTGACCCTCCTCCCTCTCGTGCTCTCTCTCATTCTCTCTCTCGCAAAAAAAATAAAAATAAAAATAAAATAATAAAAAAAATTAAAATAAATAAATAAATAAAAATAAAAAGAATGCCAGGGGACACCTGGGTGGCTCAGTTGGTTAAGCATCACCTTCGGGTCATGATCCCAGGGTCCTGATATCCAGTCCTGCATCGGGCTCCCTGCTTAGCGGGGAGTCTGCTTTTCCCTCTGCCTGCCGCTCCCCCTGCTTGTGCACTTGCTCTCTCTCTCTCTCTCAGACAAATATAAATAAAAATCTTAAAAAAAAAAAAAAAAGAATGCCAGTAGTAAAAGTTCAATAAAGAAGGACACCTGGGTGGCTCAGTTGATTAAGTGTCTGCCTTTGGATCATGTCATGATCTCGGGGTCATGAGATAGAGTCCCACCTTGGGCTCCCTGCTCAGCAAGGAGTCTGCTCTTCCCTCTCCCTCTTCCCCTCCCCCCTGCTACTACTCTCTCTCTTTCTCTCACCCTCTCTCTCTTTCTCTCTCAAATGAATAAAATCTTTTTTAAAAAGATCAATAAAGAAAAAAATGATGAACTGATTAAATATTAAATATTTATTATATTTATATTTATTATATTCTGCAACATTAGGGGCAAATAATAAGATATAAAAATCTGAATCTTATAAATATTTACATAAATAAATATTTAATAGATAAATAGACATCACCATGGTCATCTGTAAGCAACTATGCTTGTAGGTAGAGTTGACATGTCCCTTAATACTTCTGGAAACACCTGACAAATTGATTCTGTCATGTCCCCAGGAAGGCAGAAATGAGAGTCTTTGACACGGCAGAAAAAGGGAAACTGAGATAGTCAGAGGGGATCATTTCCATGGTGAACCGGGTCTCACTTCTTGCTCCTTAATCTTTCTTGCAAGATCGTTGATAAAAACAAGGAACTCATGACTTCCGCTCTGACAATCTCCCAGGCACAAGGGCTGTATTGCTTCTCTTGCAGATAGAGGGAGATTCTTTGGAAGTAGTTCCTCAGGATGGAGTCCACCTTCATGAGGGGAGTCTCTGCCCCCGCCGCCTCCTGCATGGGACAGGCTTCCAGGTTGGTCAGCTGCTCAGAAAGTCCCGAGCAGAATTCCCCTAAGAGGGTCTCGTTCCAAGCAGCAGATGAAGCCTCTGTGCAGAAGAGGTGGAAGATCTTCTGGTTCATCACATGGATGACAGAGAGGGCTTGAGCTTTCTGCAACTGCTTGCCATCAAGCACCTCCTTGGGGAAGGCAAAGACACTTGTGTACTTGTCACAAGAGCTAGCAGACATTCTCTTCATTTGTCCCAGGAGCGTCAAGGCCCTCCAGGCGAGCAGACCATGGTTCTGAGGCAGGTCACATCCCAGAGAGCAAAGCGAGTTGCAACTGAGCACCACCAGGGCCACCAAGAAGGAAAAGGGCAGGGCCATTGGAGAACCTGCAGATGCTGCTGGCCTGGCTGGGGTGGGCAAGTCTGGGAACCGTGGCTCTAGGTTCTCTGAACATCTTCCCTTGTGTGTGTGGCTTAAGTAGGGGACATGGGAGTTTTCAATTTCTGAACGTTTCCCTTACTTTCTACTTCTCTTTTTGCTTTCCTTTCTGCACTTTCTCCTTGGATTTAGAGCATTGGTTTCTCAACCATTTCCTTTTCTTATTGTCCCCTTCCTTCAGACTCCTTCCGAGTCTTTTGAGTATTTATGTAATTGAACCTTCCAAGAAAATTCAGTTGCGGGGATCTACAGTATATAGAGAGTATGGGTACTTATGTACAGTGTGTATGTATACATATATAATTGTATTTATGTCTCTGCTTTATAGACAAAAAAGAAAGTGTACATTTTACTCTGTTTATTCAATTCAGGGTTAAAAAAGAGTAAAAAAAATTTTTTTTAGAGTTTTATTGGTTTATTTTAGAAAGAGAGACAGAGGGAGTGCTAGTGAGCCTATGACGGGCAAAGATGAGAATCTTGAAGCAGACTCCCTGTGGAGTGAAAAGGTCAATGGAGGGCTTGATGCCTGGGTGGACCCCAGGACCCATGAGATCATGACCTGAGCTGAAAACAAGAGCCAGACGCTTAACCGCTTAACCGACTGAGCCACCCAGGTGACCCAAATGAATAAAAATTTTAAGCTGAAAGTAAAATTTTAAAGCTATTGCTCCTTCACTGGATGACTAAATTTGATTAGCAACTTCTAATTTTTTCTTATACAAATTGAAATATATAAAATACATATGCAAAATAACAATTTCTAGAAAGACATAATAATGATATCAATGTATTAAATATTTAGAATCATTCCAAATTGCTAACAGCCAATGACAAATTAAATCATTTATCGGACATTTGTTTTTAGTGTACTGTATTTACGTGGCCTCAATGAGAAAATAATTTTTAACTTCACTTGCTGCTTGATACTCATCAAGGTATTCTCAAAATATTTTTTCGATTTAGCACTAGATAGAATTACTGACGTGTTGAATAAGTTTTGCAGAATTAAATCATAAAGTATTATCTATTTGTATTTATTTCCAAAGCCTGCACCACAACAAGGCTCACACATCAGCAATGTCCACCAGATAGCCAATGGCAGCTCACAAGTGAGCAAAGATCACCTCTCCGGGTAAGACACTGAGATCCAGGAAATGATGGAGAGAAAGTCCTCCAATCCCAGATTATTCCTCTTATTCCTAGTGGGGCACTATCTTGCAGACATTTCGTGTATCTTCCACAAATTCCATGTCCATGCTTCTTGTGTGATACCCAAGAAAACCCAATGACAGACAATAAATACTGAGGGTAAGGTTTTGTGAGACTGCTCCAAGGCTGAGCTTTGGCATACCACACACCTTGGAATATTGAAGACTTGTTCCCAACACTAAGAACTACTTGGTACATTGTTGGAAGCAACTGTAACAACTGTTCCGTCTGATGGGGGATGCTGGTGATGGGGGAGACTGTGCAGTTACAGAAGCAGGGAGGCTGGGAAAAAACTCAGGACCTTCTACTCACTTTTACTATGAACGTAACTGTTCTTTTTAAAGAAGTATATTTTTCTAAAAGTTCCTAAAAAGCCAGGGAAATGGGCTTATTCCACTCGCAGAGTCAGTTCACTCCAGGAAAGAGCCATTTTTTGCCCCGGAGGAAACTCTCCCACCAGGGACAGACTTCTACACACAAGACAAGCCCAGTCTCCAGACTTGGTCACTGTCTAGCTCACCTTGCCCACTCGCTGGCAGCCCCCCTCCCCCGGAGAGACTGTGACGGGCCACCGAACAGCAACCCTCCACTCCTGTTTCCCTTTTGCTACAGCCACTGTTACATCACTGCAGCGGGGACATTCCCTTGGGGCCAGAACTAGTCACCAGGAGAAAGGAAGAGAGTTTCAGAAAAGCCTAGAAACTTCAGAGAACATTTGCTCTTCCTTGGTGGCCTTGTAATAGGAAGTAAAATGGCCAGACAGAAACCACAAAGGAAAAGGAAGCAGCTGTATGAATGGGCAGGAGAGGCTCCTGAGGAGGGAGGGAGGAGGGCAGAGCTCACTGGGGGTTTCTACCCTGGGGGAGAGGGAAACACTGTGATTTGGGAGTGAAAGGATGGGGTCTGGGGAAGCAGGGAGGAAGGGGAAATGTGCTCTAACAGAATGTCTAGAGTATGTGTACGTCAGTACAGTGTATATGGATACATACGATATTATTGTGTCTATAATTACATTCCATTCATGGGCCACCTGTTCCCAGTTGGGTGTCTTAGAGGATCAGCAGTTTGCAGTCAGTTAGAGAGAGAAGGCTAGGAGAAGATCACCTTTCGCTTAGAGATGTGTATGAAAAAAATAATAGTCACCATCTGTTAAACTCTCACTCATGGAAGATACTAGATACATTTAAATGTGCTATTCCATTATTACAACAACTCTAGGAATATTTCCACCCCACTTCACATTTGGGAAAACTGAACTTCAGAGAGCTCAAGTGAGTTTCTCAGGATCAAACAACTAGATCGAAAGCAGAAGCTAGAAGCAGTGGGTAGTCCTATAGCCCATGTGATAAATTCCTACCAAAGGTTCATCTTGGGAAATTCTGAAGCCTCTCTTCTTCCAAACTTTCTGGAGATCATTCTTCCCTGGCAGGGTGTTCCCTGCACTGGCTGCCCCATCTCTGAGCCCTTTGCAGGCTCCCCTTCGCTTTCTCAGCCTTAAAAGTTAAAGGTGCTCCGAAACTTTAGGGGCATCTTCTCATTCCAAACTCCACTGAGACAGAAGGACTTTCAAATACCGTGCCTTGATTTCCAAAAATGCAACAAACACTTGAGATTTAATATTTCCAGGACGTGAATTGTTGGAGATTCCAGATTCACATATGCATCTACCAGGGGGAAGTCAGCTTTCCCCTCTTCTTGACATCCCTCCTTCAAGTTCCCGGTGACAGAATCCCTTGTCCTCTACCTCTCATTGGACCATGAAACATAACTGGAATTCATTGAGCATGATGGCTGTTTTTATAACTCTTTCTGTTCCAAATGGAAAGATCCCAAAGAATAGGCTTTCAAACTCCTTTTTTCACCTCCATATTCTTGGAACTACAACACCCTAACTTAGAAATAGGCAGTTTTTTTGTTTTTGTTTTTGTTTTGTTTTGTTTTGTTTTAAGATTTTACTTCTTTATTTGACAGAGAGAGACCAGGAGAGAGGGAACACAAGCAGGGGGAGTGGGAGAGCGAGAAGCAGGCTTCCCGCCAAGCAGGGAGCCCCATGCGGGGCTCCATCCCAGGACCCTGGGCTCATGACCTGAGTCGAAGGCAGACGCTTAATGACTGAGCCACCCAGGCGCCCTAGAAATATGCAGTTTTGAAATATAACTGACGGCTAAAACTGAATGAGTAGGTTGAGTTCACCATGGATTCCTCACTATGGGTTGCACATTCAGGCTATTTCTTTTTTTAAGAATAAAGAAATCCAAATGTCTTCTACGGAAGAATTTCATAAAATAAAGAGGAAAATAATTTGATAAAAGTTAAAGGTGGAGAGGTGCCTGGGTGGCTCAGCCGGTTAAGGATCTGCCTTCTGCTCAGGTCGTGATCCCAGGGTCCTGGGATGGAGCTCCCCGTTGGGCTCCCTGCTCGGCGGGGAACCAGCTTCTCCCTCTGCCTGCCACTCCCCCTGCTTGTGCGCTCTCTCTCTCTCTGTCAAATAAATAAATAAAATCTTTAAAAAGAAAGAAAGAAAGAATAAAAAGGTGGACACAGTTTGTTATCTGAACATATTATCAAGGGGTCATAATATTATATGAACAAAATTATTTTATTTTTTAAACTACCTTAGATGTGCTACATAGTGTGGCCTAGATAAAGGCAAAGAAAGCATATTGAATACATTGACCCCCCAGCATAGTCATCATAGTTAAATTGAATTCCTGGTCTGATAATTCCAAAATCTCTAGTATATCTGAGTCTAGTTCTGTCATAGGCTCAGTCTCTCAAACTGTGTTTTCCACCTTTTCGTATGACGTGTCCTTTTTTGTGCACAGATGAACAGGATGTACCGGGTAAAAGGAGCTGCTGAAGATTGGCCTTTACGGTGAGGCTTTGTGTTTCTCTTGCTAGCACTTGGGCTGAGCTTACTGTTCGTGGCAGCCACAGCTGTCCGAGACTAAATTCCTCAGGTGTCCCTGCAGGTGTCTTCCCTAGGGACTTCCTCAGTAATGTCTGACACTTACTGTCCTTTTCAGTGGTAATCCCACTACTAGATGGGAATGCCGTTGATGTGCTGGTAGGTCTGGGGGAAGAGAAGGCTCTATAAACCTAGGATTCTGTGTCAGGCTTTAAGTGAGCACAAGTGGTTGTGACCCTCACAGGTGGCCCTTGCTCAGCTTTCTACCACCCTGCTGGGGAAGATGGGAGACAGAGCGGCTTGCAGTCCGGATTTCCCTATCCCCAGGTGAACTGGGCTCTGGAAAAACAGGTTCCCTGAGGGCAGCCTATGTTAAGGAGAAGAGGAGACTCGAGAGTCTTTTTCCCCCTCCCTCTGCTGGAAAAGCCAGCAGATTTTCCTCTGATCTTCACAGGGAGAGCCTAGTGGGGATTCTGAAGGTAAAACGCACAAACCTGTGGGCTCCAGTAACTAGGGAGCCCTGGAGTTGGTAACCCTCACAGTGTAAGCACACAGCGTCAAGCAATGCTTCAATTACAGCTCGTGTTCCTCCCAATCCCTGCTCCTGGTAAGGTGTGATTGTCTGCATGCTCCTTTTTCTCTGGTTCCCAGCGCTGGGGCTGGCCCTGGGACCTCAGTTGTGAATGGAGCTAAGAAGAGTTGTTGCTTTCAATTGTCTTGCATTTTGTGGTGGTTGTTGTTATTGTTGCTCTTGCTGTGAGGTCAGCAATAAAGTTTCCAAGTGGTTCCGTGTTGGACAGGAAACCAAGGATCCCGCAATACA